AACTAAGGACTGCAGCACCCTGGGACTAGTCTAGATTACTGCACTAGGTCCTCTGGTATCCTTCTAGATCATCAGCATCCCCAGATTTGCCGTAGGGGCCGAAGGGTGAATTTTTTAATATTCCTCGTTTTCAATATCAAATATAAACATTATTTTCTCAATAACTAGAGACTGCAGCACCCTGGTACTAGTCTAGATTATTGCATTGGGTCATCTGGTACCCTTCTAGCTCCCGTATTTGGCATGCACTCGGAGTATAACTACTGTGTATTTTGTTCGTTAAGGTGATTTTTATTTCTATGTTGCTAGGAATGTGTTTTCAAGCTTATATTACAACTGACTTATAAGTTTTCTAGCTAGGTTACAGCTTTAAATAAAGAATTGACATTTTTCTAAATTTTGGGACACATTAAAGCATTTAAATTGAACAAAGATTACAGGTAAATATGAAGGTACCGTGGGACGCTGGTCCAAAGTTATGTTTGGTGAAATATTGGTACAATTTTTAAAATGATACCACCGTTGACATTGATTCCAACAAATGTATTGCGATTCATTATAAAGACCACACCTACGGTAGTACTTTTTAATATTTTCAGAATTTTCCAGCAAGTACGTTTGTAGTCTAAGCCGGTATTCCTCTGTATCCAATTGTTTATTTACATAAAAAAGATCATTAATATGGCCACGTAATCCTATAACGCTCATAAAATATATAACAAGTATTCCACATTTTGTGCTATACGTTTGTTTAGGATATTTGTGGTCTTTAGCAATTTTGCAATCTTTGATATTTATTTGTTCATTACGACTTTTTGTTTTATTACACCTATGGAAAAACTTTTTAATATTGTTAAATATATTATTGTCCGTATTTGTTTGACCGGTATCGAGTAAATAAATTAATTTTTCTGACATACTTAGGACTATTAATATCTAGTGACTAGAGTTTACTACTACGCGACTAAAGTTATATGGAATAAATACGTACTTATAATTATTTAAATTTTCCACAAATACTTTTAAATTTAAGCAATCGTTTCCGGAAAACATAAATTTCACTGAAACAGAATCTATGTAATAAATGTAATTAGTCATTTTTTTTAAATATGAAAACGCAAATGTATCGATACAGTAATCTGATAACCACTTATCTGTTATTGTTTTTGATTTAATTATGGTAGAATTTTTACTTGAATGTAGCCGTAAAAAATCGTCGCTCATTAATTTAATAGTGGTGTTACGATACTTGTATATTTCAATCAAAAAATGTTGGGTGTTTTGTAAATTTTGATTTATTATTGCTTTCAAGTAATATTCATTATTAGATATCAGTTCGTTCATATAACATGGCACTGTGCTTGATTTGTAAAATGATGAGGATGATGAGTTATATTCAATATCATGAAAATTAGATGGATCGTCAACATCATCTTCATAACAAGTTATTTTGGTGTTCGAATTGTTTTGTAGATGGATATGTTTATGTTCTGTATCATAACAACTGGGTGGATCGTCAATATCGTCTTGATCTTCAAAATAAATTGTATCATTGTTGTAATCATTTAATAGGTGAATATGTTTATTCAAAAAAGCTTCAAGTTTCTTTTTATCGAAATGAGTCCGCTGTTTCTTTACCTTTTGCCGCCACTGTTCCTTACATGTTAGACTATTAATGTTATCATCGTCCTGTGTTTGTCTTTTTTTTTGATATCTAATGTAAGTTCTTTTACATTAGTTTGTATAATTTTTTTTTAATGCTTACGAATCGTCCAACTTTCAAGTATGTGTCATTCAACATTTGAATTTGATATAATAACTTCTTCTGCCGATATATTGTCTATCACAGACGTCCAAAGAGGTACGAATGGAAATAATACTTTAGCAAAAATTGTGCAAATTGGATACATTGCAGACTATTTTTTTCATCACTATCATTATTCCATTTTGCTACTGTGTTCTCAACTTCAGTATAAATTTGATGAAAATGTTTATAAAATAGTGTATCTGCATAAGAAGCTGTGATACTATCGATGTCTTCCTCATCCTTGTTATTAATTATGTCAAATTCATCTAATTTTCAATATTCCAAGTTAAATTTAGTAAGCAATTTCAAATGTTGAATTGTTTCACTGTTAATTACAGGACTAATTACTACAATTAAAAAGCTGCTAAAATGGGCAATTAGTTCTTGAAGAGAGAACTTATGAGAAGATATTATACCTAAGCAGTTTTTACTAATTTTTGCTTTATGTAGGTAATTTTATTTTATTTCCTTTCGGCACTATACTATTAATAGTATTTTTGCAAAAGGGATATACTAAAACTCTACCGTTAGGAAATTGAATATATTTATTGTCATCTAGGGTGCTGCAGTCTCTAGTTATTGAGAAAATAATGTTTAAAATTCCTATTGAAAATGAGGAATATTAAAAAATTCACCCATCAAATTGCAAATCGGGGGGTGCTGATGGGCTAGAAGGATACCAGAAAACCTAATGCAATAATCTAGACTAGTCCCAGGGTGCTGCAGTCCTTAATTGTTGAGAAAATAAGGTTTAAATTTGATATTGAAAGCGAGGAATATTAAAAAATTCACCCTTCGGCCCCTACGGCAAATCTGGGGGTGCTGATGGGCTAGAAGGATACGAGAAGACCTAATGCAATAATCTAGACTAGTCTCAGGGTGCTGCAGTCTCTAGTTATTGAGAAAATAATGTTTAAATTTGATATTGAAAACGAGGAATATTAAAAAATTCAGCCTTCGCCTCTACGGCAAATCTTGGGGTGCTGGTGGGTTAGAAGTATACCAGACGATCTAATGCGATAATCTAGACTAGTACTAGAATGCTGCAGTCTCTAGTTATTGAGAAAATAATGTTTATATTTGATATTGAAAACGAGGAATATTAAAAAATTCACCCTTCGGCCCCTACGGCAAATCTGGGGATGCTGATGGGCTAGAAGGATACCAGAGGACCTAGTGCAGTAATCTAGACTAGACCCAGGGTGCTGCAGTCTCTAGTTATTGATAAAATATTGTTTAAATTTGCTGTTGAAAACGAGGAATATTAAAAAATTCACCCTCGGCCCCTACGGCAAATCTGGGGGTGCTGGTGTGCTAGAAGGATACCAGAGGACCTAATGCAATAATCTAGACTAGTCCCAGGGTGCTGCAGTCCTAAGTTGTTGAGAAAATGCTTTTTAACTTTGCTATTAAAATCGATAAGTATTCAAATATTCATCACTCTGTCTCTACGTAAATCTGGGGGTGAGGGTAGACAGGGAACATACTAGAGGGTCTATTCGAATTATCCAGGGTAGTCGCAGATTGNGAAAAACAAAAGACGATAGCGCTATGAGGGTTTCGGCATTAGCAGTTTCTCGAAAAACGAGATCATGACATGTAAGCTACTTTTTTTCTAACTCTCGTTTCCGAGTTAGCTTATGCGGACATCGAATTTGAACCACCCTGTACATTTTAAATTTTCAGTATTGATTTCAATCATATTTTTTTTAAATTTATTATTAATTTGCTCAACCGAATTTTTTAATAAATTCATTTCTGTGAAAACGCCATCAATTTTTGATGGAATCTGAAGTTTATCTAGTTTTTTCTCTAAATGATTTACTTTAAATAGAACCGTGAAAAGAATTATGACTACAGAAAACTGTTTTCTTCGTGAATATTTAATATTCTCAATTATTACGGGTTTATAACATTCATCTTTTCGTCAAAAAGTGATAATTGATTAATCCAATTTGGAACGGGCAACTGACTACTGATAAGAACGCTCTTAATTGTAAACGTTTTAAATGCATGTTCAATGACCAAAAAAGAGTTTGATATGAGCAAAATTTTTTGGACACAAACAAGGCATTCGATACAGTTTGGCATCAGGGTGTGATGATTATACATGACAAAAACATCTAAGTTGCCTTCGATCATCTACAGACGTTGTACAATAAGACAGCAGCGTGGTTAAAAAATGGAAGATCTATCCCAATCCGGATATATTCCAGCTACTGGTACTGGCCCGCATTCAAGAATATCCGAGCCTCCTTCAAACATCATGGCAGGTGTATCGATTATAAAACCCTCAAAGGCAATCAAATGGCTAGGCATTACTAGGGACGACAATTAAAATTTAAAACACATTACAAAAGAATCCAAACGGAATCAAACTTATATACAAANCTAAACATCTGATTAGGCATCATAGAAGATAGGTTGTTAGGACCGATTGGTTTACCACAACCATTAATTGGTCATACATACCTTGATTTCCTGGACTTTTGAAAAGCTTACCATTAAATCGGAGACTAAATCTCTGGTTTATGAAGCTCTGCCGCACTTTACGAAACCTGTAAACAATCTGAATATTTGCGCCAATGGCTAGAACACGGTTGTGAGATGTTTGTTGAACATTTTGAACATCTTCAATAATAATTAGAGTACGTTGCAATAAAATCATTATAATTACCAACTAATCAAATTATTTATTATTATTGAGTAATGTAATTGTCTTGAATCATTTTTATTTCGGTAATGATTGATTTCCGGACCCATGTTCATTAAAACTTTTCAACTTGTTTTCAACCGTAGTTACGTCCTTGCATACAATACCCCACACATTATTTTTAATACACCATTTTTATTGCCATCCTATACTTAATCTGTGTTAATTACCTTTATTTTCATTAAAAATATACAATTTGTTATAAAACAGAATAAATATTCTTATAAACATTCCTAGAAAGTATTATAATATAATTTTTGTTGACTTCTTTGTGGTTGTTATCATCATTTCAACTTTTTTTAAACATATTTGATAATTCCAATTATTCCAATGTATTCCTCTATAAGCCTTTATTTCTGCTTTACGATAAACACCATTTAGATTAGCTTTATGACAATTGTTGAACCACCATCCACTGTGAAAGGCTAGAGGACATGTTCTACCATCTTTACTTACCAATTTATCGATAGTACTAAAATACATGTTGTTGTGATACGAAAAACTGTCGGTGGCATTACCACTATAAGTTTCTATTTTCAAACGAAAGTAATCGTCTTCATTTCCAATTTTAAATGATTTATATTCGGCCCACATTTTCTTACCAGAGAAAGTTTCCAGTTCTATTCGCAATTTTAGATCGTTTTTATCCGATAATCGGTGAAGGACATTATTTCCAATCCAAAATTCTTTACGCACATCGCCAAAACCATGTTTGTAGTCATTCCAGGATCTATTAAAATTTTCTTGCACGTCGAAACTATCCCGTCTTTGAATTACTAACCAACCATTTCTACATAATCTTGTTAAATTGTTTAAATCCGAATAAAATCTATATTTACCAGAAAGTCTTTCTGAAGAATTAATAAATGTAGAATCAAAGCATTCAGATGAAATTAATTGTGTGTGATTGGTTTTATTCGTTTCTTCTGATTTATTACCCTTGCCTATTAGCTTTGTTACATTAACTTCTTGTGATTTAACAGTTGATATGTTTTCGTACTTTTCAAAGGTACTTTTTAAATTTCCAGTTTTGTTTTCCACTTTATCTATTTTATTTAAATCTTGTTTTACATCAAACTTATTTTCATGGGATTTAACATTTGAAATGTTTTGAATATCGTAGTTCTCAAAGGTACATTTTAAATTTTCAGTATTGATGTCAAACTTATTGTTTTCTAATTTATTATTGATTTGCTTAACAGAATTTTCTAATACACTCATTTTTGTGAAAGCGACATCCATTTTTGATGGAATCTGAAGTTTATCTAGTTTTTCTTCTAGATGGTTTATTTTAAATAAAACCCTGAAAAAAAATTATGACAATAATATATAAAATTATTCTCAATTATTACGTGTTTATAACATTCATTTTTTCATCAAGACGTGATAATTGATTAATCCAATTTGGAATGGGCAACTGAGTACAGGATAAGAACGCTCTTAATTGCAAACGTTTTAAATTTATGTCCAAAGACTGAAAAAGAGTTTGATATGAGCCAAATTCATCACGGATCTCCGTTTTCTCTTCTAAAATAGAAATAATTATTTAACACTGAAAAACGTGTACATTGTAAAAAGTATTTAACAAGAGCTGGTTAAAGATAAGTATTTTTATAATGAAGAAATAATGTAATACATTGCGCTTTAATACCTATAATAGTATAAAATATGTGTAAAAGTTAGTAGTATAACCTCGATCTGGAACTGTCTCAATACAAACTAACAATAAACAAGTAGAAGGTGAGAAAAACTCAAAAGCTTTNTTTACTAATGTATCACAATCTGGTATGTTGATTCCTTGTGCGACTTTTGAGTCTGCTGTACGTTTGATACAGCCTCCAATACCATCAGGCGCTCCTTTTCCATGGCCACTTTCACTATAATGCCATCGAATTGTCTCTGCTTGTAATTTTTTGTGCAGGTGTGTGGCAATAAAATAAAATATCTTTCTGTTCTTATATTGGGTGGATGGTGCATCCGATAAGAAATTTAGTCATGGCGAAGACTACTTGATACTGTACAGTATGAGATATGGTCTGTTGAGTTATTGTGTGGATGCTTGTAATATACAACTAAGGTATGAAGAGATATCTGAAGCTTTGAAGAGCCAAAGTGTGCAGATTGTACTTCTTCAGTATATTTACATCAGTAATTTTCAGAAAAATCCATATGGATCAAGATTTCATCAACAGACAGATTCTTTTTCACTGCATTTATACACCGATATTGATGAGATATATTCCTGAGGTGCAACATATATCTCGGTATAGATTATATCAATTCTGTAACTGCTTGGTGTTTCTCTACTGTTTGCTTTTCTTTCACTGTTCTTTAAAAAACATTATTTTCCCCTTGACCACTACCTGTACCGATTTGTTAACCTATGTCATTAATTCCTTTTTATTATAGTGCAGAACGGTCACTGTATTTTTGTTGCACTTGACGCATTTGCGTTCGAGGCATTTTTCATTTTTGCATATATTAGCAGTTGAACAGCACATTTTTTTGGACCACTTGAGATGGGGTGTTTTCTTTGATAATGTCTAAGATCCCTAGCTTATGCACCAAAAGATTCGTCTTAGTGTGGGCAACACATAAACAAGTATCTCTTTGGCGTGCTGTAGGCTGCAAAATCCAAAATGCTCTCATTCGACAAAATGTGGAGTAACCGATGCGCAATTTTGAGTATATTTCATTAAATTTTCTATGCAAATTCTGTAGGGAATCGTTCAAGTAGCGTTTTTGTTTTTTGTTTTTCTTGTATGTTATCGTGTCCTTTTTCCCAGGACAGAGTCTGCTGTTTTCGTCTTTTTCTAAATATGTACGAACTATTTTTCTGATGGAAATATTATTCAATGGGCGCTGTTTACTTATAGTACTTTCTATGTCCGATTTACGAGGCGTCCGAGTTTCACGTTTTTTATACTTTTGTATAAGTTTTTTCGCTTGTGCAATTTCTTTCTGGAGTACATTTACCTTGTTTTTGAGTTTATTATTTACATTTTTGGCCCTTAAAAGCACAGAACTTGATGGTGTAGAGTTGTGGTTCTTTAAAGCAGCTGCCTTTGTTGCTTGGTAATGTTTTTTACTATGTTCCCTCCATTTTTTCCTTTTATGTCTTTTATCTCGATCTGTTAATTATGATGTCTTTTTTATTTTACCGCAGCTAACTCTGTGGTGATACCGCTCTCTTTCCTTCAATTTAGCAATTTCATAAGCCTCAGGATCTTCTTTTCGTTGCGCCCTTAGTCTNAGTAGAAGGTGAGAAAAACGAACGTTTAAGGTAAACTATCACTTACCTCTACTCAAAAGCTTTAGTAAAACCTTCTCCCTCTCCTAATTAATGGACAATAGTACTCCATAAACAATAATCATAACAACAATCTTAAATTGGAATGCTAATGAAATTAGGAATTGTAGAAGCGAACTTATATCTCTCCTGCAACGGCTTAGCATTGTCGGAAACACATCTCATAGTAACCGAACCGTTCAAGATACCTGTGATATGAAAGGATCGTCAAACTAATAATAAACTAATAAAATAATTACTAATTTTATTCACATCATTCAGGCGTGCAAGAATAATTGACCTGGACTTTTTCCCGATATTCAACCTATCTAAAAGCCTCCAACTACTCTGCACGTCCATATTTTTAAATGTACGAGTTGAAACAAGCTTTTCACGACGTATGGATTGCCTACGGTCATGGGGGTGGCCTATAGACCGCCTCTTTTTCGTCGTTTCTTTCAGAGTTTGAATCTGCCCTTTCTTCGTTCGCTGTTCAATCGGATTCTTTTGTTTGTCTTGGAGATTTTAATGTTAATTTACTAACTCTGGATGGTGTCCAATCATCGCGATTTATTTCATTGATTGAGCAGTTTAATCNTTAGCATTGTCGGAAACACATCTCATAGTAACCGAACCGTTCAAGATACCTGAATACATAGTGATATGAAAGGATCGTCAAACTAATAATAAACTTATAAAATAATCACTAATTTTATTCACGTCATCCAGGCGTGCAAGAATAATTGGCCTGGACTTTTTCCCGATATTCAACCTATCTAAAAGCCTATATTTTTAAATGTACTATTGAAACAAGCTTTTCACGACGTATTGCCGATGTAACTAAATTTTTCAAAGATTTGTAGTAATCGAAATGAGAGGCTAGTTTTGTTCTCCTAAATTTACCCAAAGTCTGTTCTCTGAGTTTCATCATTATCCTAATATTGGGAGTTATCCATGCAGTAAAAGACTTAGCAATCCTAAGAGGACGCACCGGTGCATATAGAATCAGTAGTATCGACAGATGGGAGTTTTAGAAGTTTAATTTTTGACCTCTTTGATTAATGTCATTCATATGTAAACCTGCTGCTATTCACTTGCTTTGTTACTGCGTAAATATAGTTAGTATGATTTTTTATATGAAACGGGATTTATTACGTGGTGATAATTACACATTAATCTGTGATAATAGTGAAAGTAATTTGAAATGATTGCTCATTTTTTATTTCAATTTAGAANCATAGTTCCGCTACATTAATAGATCATGTTATAGTTTTTGAGGATGCAGTTGTTGAAAATAGTGGTGTTCAACCTATTCATGATATTGCAGATCATAATTTAGTGTTGGTTGATCTCGGGATGCATGGAACATTAAAAAATGTATACCCGAAACTTACATTTCGTGATTTCAAACAACTTAATTCTGACATGTTTTCTGCGGATTTGCTGTCAGTATCCTGGTGCCGGATACTCCAATTTCAGGACATTAATGATAAGGTTGGCCTCTTTTGTTGATTCAATTCATAATCTTTTTGATCGTCATGCGCCCTTGCGTACTGTTTCCATCCGTAAAAACTATTGCCCTTGGGTGACTGATAACATCAAGCTCCTTATGAGATTTCGCCAGAGCAGGTGTCCCAATCACTTCCAGTATTATAAACAACTACGTAATTACACTAACTCGGCCATTCTGAGAGAAAAACGGGCGTTTTTAAACACATTGTTTCAGGAGCGATCATCTCGTGATCTTTGGATGAGTTTTAGGAAATTGGGTGTTGTCAAAAATAAGACTCAAGTATTGACTGATACTGGTTTTGATGCTGATACTATTAATAATTTCCTTCTCAGCACTCAAACTAATTCAACGGGAAGTGCTGAGTTGATTAACTTTTATTGGAATAACATACTTCCACAAGTTACAGAAAAACTAACATTTTCTCTTACAAATGAAACTGAAATTTTCAATATTCTATGTGGTATCAAATCAAACTCTGTTGGTATGGATGGCATAAGTGTTAAAATGCTTTTAATGTGTTGTCCTACAATTTTGCCCTTCTTGTGCCATATAATTAACTATTCCATTGAATGTTCTGTGTTCCCTGATATTTGGAAGATCGCCCTGGTAACTCCAATTCCAAAAACCCAAAATCCTCATGAATTGGGGGACTTAAGGCCAATTAGTATATTGCCTATATTATCCAAGGTTTGTGAGAGGGTCATGGCGGTCAGACTTCGCTGTCATCTTGATGATTATAATGTGTTGCCCAGTTGCCAGTCTGGCTTTCGTCCGGGATTTAGTAGCGCTACTGCGCTTCTGGGTGTGACGGATGAAATCTTCAAAGCAATTGACGACAAACGGGTTACTATCTTAACACTTTTGGATTTTTCTAAGGCTTTTGATAGAATACATCATGATACTTTAGTGGCTGCGCTCCATTATATAGGTTTATCTTTAGGTTCGATTCATTTAGTACAAAGTTATTTGTCTGGACGAAAGCAGTTGGTTAAACTTAATGGTGGTACATCCAATACCGCAGATGTTATATCGGGTGTCCCACAGGGCTCTATTTTGGGTCCTCTGTTATATCTGATATCTACAATTGGGTTCGCTAATGTTTTGGATCACTGTATGCCATACTTTTATGCTGATGATACTCAACTGCTCTACTTCTTTAAACTGTGTGATATGGAAGACGCTGAAAGCAAAATTAATCATGACTTAGTTAA